GGGGGGTAATGTACTACGGAAGTGGAGAATTCAAGGGAGGGATTACAGCTTGGACTTGAACTCCTCTAAATTGCTACTAAGAGCAGTGTGAGCCGGCAGACTGTTCCACTCTCTGATTGTTCGTGGAAAGAAAGATCTCTCTCTATACTGTGTCCGACATCTGGGCAGCTGATATGCTGCGGGATGGTTGAGTCCTGTCGGTTTGGAACAGCTAGGGGTGGGTTTGGAGCAGCAATTAATGATCAACGAGCCGTTGTGGTATTTATAGAAGTTGATCAGCCTTGATCGCATTCGGCGATGTTGAAGTGAGGTCCACTGAAGGTCGGATAACATGTCGCTGACACTTGACGTCTGTCTGTGACGGTGTACTACCCAGCAAGCCGCCCTGCGCTGCACTGCCTCTATTCTGTTTGTTAGTCGACCCCTGTCTTCCAGCAGGGTCGCTGGAAGACAGACGTAGAATGTCCAGACTGTGCATGATGTACAAAATGACCAATAAACTCGTGGACATACCAACCATTAAGTATCTGATACCAGCCCAGAAAAGAACAAGAAACAGTTATGCCTTCAAATATCAGAGTTATCAACCAAGAATTGGTTGCCTGCGAAGCTGCTGTGTTACGCCGAAGAGCGGTTATACCGGCTATACCGATACAGATACAGAATCTACGCAAAGTCATATCTCAATGACGTTTCATTTGTTAGCTAATAGACTTTCCACCAAAGTCATGAATGTAAGCTTTAAGGGAGGTAGTAAAACATCTTTCAGGAACTGTGCAGGTATTTTTGATGTCTAGTTGCATCTAACCTGCACATAGGTTTATGTGAATTTTTCTTAATGTGGATTGACTGGTAGCGCCTATAATTTGAATCAAGTATCAAGGGAATAATAGCAATGCTTTCTCAACAGTTTTTCTAAATCTTTAGTGGGGCATGTAAAATTTGTCTGGTGCAGGTAATTTTCAACATTACCTATACCAGTGCAAGTGTGTAGAAATAAGTATTTCGAGCCCCGACTTTGGAAAGTGTGGCAACCAGAAGTTCAGCACCACTGACAGGACTATAACAACTGCCAGGGAGGCCAGGGTTGGACAAGTTTTCCACTTTTTATTTTCACCTGCCCGAACCAATTTTTCACTCACTCACTCACTCTCTCCCATACCAATTTTTCACATGCCCAAAATATACATATTTCTATGCATTTTTAACACCACCGAGGAAATTATCTTATTTTGGAGTTTATAATGTTGGATTCTTTATTTATCAAAATAAGGTGGTTTGACTTGCTCCAAACACCATAGCAGCTATACTTTGCATCCAAAAATTTATTTGCCAAATCGGGCAAGTCCAGGGGCACATGCATTTGCCAGAACAGTACTTTTAGTTGCCCTGGGCAAGTGGGCAGTGGGACTTGTCCAACCCTGGAGGAAACAAAAACTTAAGCACTGTGTTTATTTTGGTGAAGTTTTGCCAGTACAATTTGATATTCTCCCATTTTCAGGGCTGTTGATTTTGTAGCCTAATCTGTTGGTTCAATTTTTATTGTGAAAGGAACTCGCAGACCTGGTTAGCCCAAATTGCACCCTACATACAGTATGCATCACTGTAAAACTTACATTATCCGGTACATGTTAAAAGTCGACATCATATTTGTATGTAAGAACAAACACAATCGAATTTGATAATAACATCAGAGATACGTCGATGAAGGTTAGACATCCAGGTAATAAGATAGGCCAAAAAGCAGTTACTCAAGCAACTGGATATGATTTTGAAAACGTCAGACGTTTCAGCTAGTATCCACTAGCTTTCAATCAATAGTTGGTGCTTATAAACCTGCATTTCCCCTCTGGTCTCTCAGTCACTGACGAAAGCTAGTGGATAGTAGCTCAAACGTCTGACGTTTTCAAAGTCATATCCAGTTGCTTGAGTAACTGCTTTTTGGTGTAATAACATCAGAGACATTGCGTATATCAATATTTATAACTGTAAGGATGGAGAGATAGGGTAATACCGAAGCACTGGTTGTTCCAAGCAGTAAAAATGCGAGAAAGGCGTTAACGAGGTCGTGCTGATTGAATGAGATTGAGCGCTCCTGTGCTAAATGACCCCTGGCAGTTATCAGGATGACCCACTTCTCTGATCTGTGTCATCCCGAGTTATATCGATGTCGCACCTGCGAACAGTTTTCCAGGTCAGAGACGCCAAAATCTTCACAGGAAAATGAACTCTGTTCAAAACACCTGCTCGAAAGTGCTTTTCTGTGCATGAGAAAATAGTCGCCTATGGAGTGTCTGGCATTGCTTTAGTTTGGTCAGTTTCAGCCTGGATGAGAAGATATATTCTCTTACAACATTATCCTTTATATCATCTTTAGGCCTCACCAATTTATTTTCTTGGTTCCCTGCCATTTTTACCTGAAAACATATTAAGAAGAAAGTCAAGTCAAGTCAAGTTTATTGCGCAACAATTGCATTTGATACAATGTATGGCAAGTAACACTTAATAACTATAAACTATTTCTACTAGTGTACTAATCTAACTTCAATGCCTGTATATATGTTCTAGTGGAATGTTACATTTCACAATGCAGTGACAAGGTTTCTCTTTTGTATAGCAGTATGTACATATTGGCCTAAATAAACAGATACAGAGTCGGGGCATGATAACAATATGTTGAAGATTTCTCTACTTGTCCCAGGTAGTGTTATTCTATTTTTACATGATATCATTAGTTTTTTCCTTTCTTCGTTATAGTATGGACATATCATTACAAAATGGTACTCATCTTCAACTTTGTCTTTGCAGGCAGGACACATTCTTTTCTCGGCTGGTATCTTTTTGTGACGACCCTTCTCAATTTCTAGGGAATGTGCACTAATTCTCAGTTTTGTAATACTAGATGTAAAGGATTTGTTTCGGATCACCGAGAGGTAATTCTCCATGGAAAAGGTTTTCTTGACTTTGGAGTATGTCTCAAGTTTACTGAAGCTCCTTATCTGTTGTCTCCAGTTGGAAAGAAATGTGTCCTTGAGTCGTTCCTTAAACAAGTTTCCAAAATAGTTGGCGTCTACATTACAGTTAAGCCAAATATTTTGAAAACCATGTCTGCATAATATATCTTGTACATGGGAAGCCCAATCGTGTTCTTGTACAACAGCAGTATCGTAGGCTTTCTTAACAATTCTATCATTACACATGTTATTTAATCTTAACCAGTACTTAATCAGTCTCGTTTGAGTGTCTATGTACAATGGGAAAATTCCTAGCTCGCCCATTACAGCAGCATTAACAGAGTTTCTGGGCACACGAAGCAATATTTTACAGTAGTTGAGCAATACATGTTCTAAATCGGGGATCTCATAACAAATATTGGGTTGCTCTACTAATATATTTTGATCTCTAAGTACACTTGATTGATATATAATATTCATTTTATCCGTATATTTCCTAAGTCGAATAAGCACAGGACGGGCGGTCGATGTATCAGATTTCTTTCCTACACGGATCGACCTAATTATACATGTGTTTACATCTGATCCTAATATTGGGGAAAGGGTGTTAGATACTAATTCTCTAATATTTTCATTCTGAGATTCCTTGATTCCCCTGAGAATAATCTCTTTGCTTTGAGCGTTTGTCCCCAGTATTTCCCCGCAATATAGTAATATAGGCTTGACGAGACTATTGAATAGGTCCAGGGCGAGAGAGATTGACGGATTGTGATTTGATGCCAACAATGTTTTAAGTTTAAAGGAAGCCCTCATTGCTTTAACTCTAAGTTGTTTATTAGCACGATTGAATGACCCTGATGGTGTTATGTCTACTCCTAAGTATGTGTAAAAGTCTGTGAAGCTTATAGTCTGTCCTTGTGATTGAAAGGATGAGCGTCTTTTATTATTGGCTCGTCCGTTTTTTGAGAATATCATGACTTTAGTCTTCCCTTTATTAGTTGATAGTTTCCAAGTGGAACAAAATGCGTCTAGCCTTTTAAGACATTGTTTTAGCCCTGATTCGGATTGTGAGATGAGTACGAGGTCATCTGCCCAGAGGAGACTGTTAATGGGGGTATCTTTTAAGAATACAGGATCGCACAATGGTGAAGCTAATTTATCTGGAAGGTCGTTAACAAACAGGTTGAAAAGGAGTGGACTTAAGTTGCAACCTTGTCGCACGCCGCATGATGATTTAAAATAATCTGACAGGCCATTACCTGTTTTCACACAGTATTCTATGTTACTGTACATTGATTGTATAATTTTGAAGAAGTTGCCACCTATACCTGATAACAAGATTTTATAGAATAAGCCATTTCTCCACACGGAATCAAATGCTTTTTTGAAGTCTACAAAGCATGTATATAGTTTTCCTCCGGGTACAGATAGCTGTTTATCAATAAGCGTTTTCAATACAAAGATATTATCACTGGTCCGAAAGTCTTTTCGAAATCCAGATTGAAAAGGGGACAGTATGTTATCATTTTCTAGAAGTTGCTGTAAACGATTGCTCAGAATTAGTGTAAATAGTTTTCCAATACAGCTAGAAATGGCAATTCCTCTATAATTTGAGGGGTTCGATAGATTGCCACTTTTGTGGATAGGAACGAGAATACTTTGGCTCCATTGGTGTGGGAAATTTCCAGAGTTCAAAACAATATTAAAGAGTTTCCTTAGTGGAGATATAAGTTGTGTGCTGTTATATTTCAACATTTCATTTATGACAGCATCTGCTCCACACGCTTTGTTGCGTCTCAGTTTGCTCAATCCCTCTAAAATTTCTTCAAGTGAGATGTCAAAGTCTAGAGGTTTTTCCGTCGCGTTCTCTAACGTACGTATAATGTTGTCTGTAATGTTGTCTGTCGGTTCATTATTGAAAGCATGTGTATCGGTAGTTTTGTTTGCCGTCTGGAAAAGTTCCGGGTTTACCTGTGAGACATGTTGGTGGAAATCTTTATCTGATTCATTACTTTCAATGAGTATCGTTTAAATTTTTGAAATGTGTTCTCCACTCTTCGGGCTAATGTTTTCATCCACGTTCTGTTTATCACCTTCATCTTGCTTATGTATCTTCAATTCTCTCCAGAATTTTTGAGGATTTTCTTTACTGAGCTTACTTAATTTGTGCCATTGCCTTTCTTTATAAAGCTTCTTTTCTGTTTTGATTTTCTTCTTGTATACCTTTAGATTGCAGAAGTATGAATGGCGTATATCTAATCTCCATGGGCATTTTGAGAACTGGGAGGCTAAGTTATTGATTTTGCGTTTCAAAGAGGTGCATTCTAAGGTATACCATGGTTTGCATTTCTTTTCTTTTCCTATTGTTTCTGGGAGTGATCTTTCGTAGGGATTTGTCGGCCACATGTGTAATTATACCGGCAAATTCCTTTACAGCACTGTCTACATTGCAGAACGATTTATCCATAAAGTTTTGTATGTCATTTAATGTCAATGAATCTTGGAGAGTTTCTGAGAACTTCGCTTTTGAGTGATCATCCCAGATATACTTAGTTGGTAGAGGACGTGTTGGGGTTTGAGTTTGTTTGATATACGGTGAATAATTTGTGGAAATTGAGCAAGTTAGCAAACAATGATCTGAGAACACTGAAAGATCGTTCACTTTAAAATATGGACTTTTGGAAGAAATTCAGAGCTAACAATGAAATAGTCAACCACACTTGATCCATTATACTTGTGACAGGTAAAGTTACCGGACAAGTCTCCTGGGACCCGTCCATTTAGAATAGCCATGTTGGCTGCTGAGCAGAGATCAATTAGATTATTTCCATATCTATTTACTCCTTTGTCACAGCTCGACCTGGGAGGTATGTTTTCTAATAAGTCTATTTTGTCATGATTCAGGCAGTCATCTTGAATGAGTGTTGCTTGAAGGGACGCTGTTCTGGCGTTTAAATCGCCCAGCAGCATTACATTTCCCTGGTTGGAAAATTTGCATATGTCTTCTTGTAGGATATCAAATGGGGAGTTGTGTTTGGTTTCTAGGGACGATGAGTTTTCCGGAGAGAAGTACATACACCCGACAAATAGGTCCTGTTCTAGGCCAAAGAATGCCTTGTCTAACTTACACCAAAGAAAGTCCGGGTGTCTTGATGGCAGTTTTGTAATACCTTTGGTAAATTTGTTTCTAAACATTATAACTACTCCGCCGGAATTCCTTTTGGCGGTCTTTTTGGCGTCTCTATCACTCCTAAAGTAACTAAAGGATTCTATACTACAATTATCCCCTGGTTTAAGCCAAGTCTCTTGGAGGCAAATAAAATCATAACTTTCTAAACTAGAAACAAAGTCTACATCTAAACATTTCCTCCGAAGACCACCTTGAACGTTCCAAGAGCAGAATCTAAGTGCTACTCTTTGAGCAGACATTGTCTAGTCAAAACAGCGAATGTGAGAAATTAAACAATAAGAGCATGGTTGCATTGTGTGTCAAGTGAGTTGATACAGCTTAATCAAATATTCATATAAAATGTATCACACCTACAGGTACCTGTATGAATTATACTAATATAGACAGGGTAGTTTACGGTTAATCATTTAGGCACTATTATGTTGTATACATATAAGAGATGAACACGTTACCTCGTAACCTCTTTCAACTTCAAGTGTCCGTTCAATGACTAAGGAAGTCTTTCATCATGTTCATCAGCGTTTCTATTGCCTGGCGCTTGTCCTATGCCTCACTCCATCTCGACCCTTGCCGTTCGTTCCAGTTGGATCTTCGCTGAGGAGCTGGGGGTGACTGGTTCCACGGGAGCAACGGTGCCGGATTCCGCTGGGCTTGTGAGAAGCGGCTCGGGGGAGCGTACCGTCCGGACTGCATGTAGGTCACGGTGTTTTCCCTCGATGTTTTCCTGGGTGGTCTCGTCTGCTGCCCGCTGTGGCCCGAGTGTTGTCTGCTCCTGTCTGCGACGGACTGCTGGTGATGGCGCAGCGTGCGCTTCACGTCAGCCACTAACAGACTCACGCCAGCGTCAGGGGTGATGTGGATCCTGTCTGGTTTGTACAGCGACCGTTCCTGTGACAACAGCCGATGCCTGATGTAGAATAGTCGGTCATCTTCCAGACATAGTTTCTCGACGTTGTCGTTGTACATGGCAATGTTCTTGTTGAGTGTGGAATCCATATGCAACCCTCTTGGGAGGACTTGAGACATTGCTATTGTTGCATTTGGGAATGATGTTTTTGCATTGTTGATCAATTTGCGAGTTTCCTCTATGCAAATGTTCACACTGTCTGATCGTGCTCTTGTGTTGTCCATGTCGTTTGAGCCGACATGTAAGATGACCAGCTCCGTCGTGTTGTCAGGGGACGAGTTGACATTCTCAGAGGCTTTCCTTACTGTGCTGGACTTAACGATGCTCGAACTTTTGTTCTTAAACATTCTGTTTGTATCAACGCCATTCCAAAGCGAGTCGGCAAAGATTCTGATCTGTTTCTTCTCTTTCTGTGCTGGATAGGTTACCGAGGCCTGTGTGCCTGGGGTTGTCGTAGCCTGTGCGCCGGGGTTTGTCGGGCTCCGTGTGTCGTGAGTTGTCGGGGACTGTGTACAGGGGACTGCCTGGGCGCGTGAGTCGGGACTGGAGGCTGCCGGGGGCTGCTTGCCGGGGTCTGTCGGAGCCAGGGGCTGCTTGCCGGGGTCTGTCGGAGCCTGTATGGCGGGGCTTGCCGGTTCCTGTGTACCGGAGACTACCTGGATCCGTGTGTCTGTACCGGTGGGCACTGGGGCCTGCGAGCGGGAGGCTGCCGGGGTCTGTTTGTTACGGGGGGCTTCCGGAGTCTTCATGTCGGACACAGCACCGCCCTGTTTGTCGGGGGTTGCTGATGTCTGTGTGTCGGGCGCATAGGTGTCGTTCTGAGCTGCTGAGCTTACGATTTCTGAATATAACCGTTGAATTCTCCATTCATCTCCCCGAGTAGCGCAGACACATGCACACTTCGAAGAGAGTTTGTCTGATAAGTCTTTAGAGAATTCACGCTGGTGTTGGAGTTCGGTCATCAGATTTTCGATCTGCTTGGCCTGTTTCTCGATCTTCTTCGTTTTATTTTGGACATTAGCTTGTAGATCGGCGACTTGCTGCCCCTGCTTGTCCATCGCTACTTTGTTATTGAAAACTAGAGTTTTCAGTTCATTCAGTTCGTCCACCAAAGTAGTGTACAAAGTTTCACTATTGGAATCAGCACTCTTTTCGGGGAGGGAGTTGTCGGCAAGAATATCGCGTCGCGATCGGTTTGTCTGTCGTGACTTCTCTTCTCTGCTTTTTCCGGTAGATTCTCTCATCTTTGTGAAGGGACTCAAGATGATATTCTCAAGACCTCCGAACACTTTGCGGATAGACGGAGATGTAACAGACTTTGGAGTAGTATATTCCGTTCTATTCTCTTTCTCTGAAGTCAAGTCTGTGGCACCAGGTTTAGTTGGCGTGGTCTGGTCGAGTTCAGTGTCAGACGCCATCATGGCGGACTTGCCATGGTCTGAGAGGTCCTCTATTGTCTCTGGGTTGTTGTCTTTTGTTTCGACTTCATTCAGTGTCAATTGATCAGCAGTTTGTCCGCCATCTTGATTCTGGGATGAGCTTGCTGGGTTATTAACCGTGACTTTCACTTTTGGGAAAATGTTCTCGGCGTACCATTTTGAACCCTTGCCGTGTACCAGGATTGTTCCCGACTTGTAGAAGTGAATGTTCACTACCTTGATGCTTTCTCCGGACTTTGTAGGATCTGTGATAATGAGCTGACAGTTCTTGTCTTTCCAGGTGAACTTGTATCCTGTTTGTTTTTCAAGCTCTTCGTCTAGGTAGGCTTTAGTGGCGTTTATCCACAAAGGAATGCGATCCGATGAGGTGCGACACTTGAGGTTACATACCTTCGTTCTGTCACTGTCTGCGTAGTCTTCGGAAAGTACTTCGAACTCACGGATGTTCTTCGCTGGTGTATTCCACGGCTTGGTGGAGTTCCCGGATCTGGTCCTGTACTTCTTTGTTGTCACCGGCACGGATTCACTTTCTCCTCCGTCTTTTTCACGTTCCATGTTGAACTCACAGATTAAAATCAAACTGAGTATATGAACCGAGTATTATAAACAATATAAGCTGTATAAGCACTCTATATAACACGAGCAACCGCTCTTGAAGTTCAATTACATACGGAGCACATACGACGCGCGTCCTCTCATGTCCGCCATCATAAGAAGAAATCATAAAAGCAATTGAATGTTTGAATGTAAAATGTTCATCCTAATCTGATTCTCCCATACAGAGAGAGGAGCTGATGAACCTTGACCTGTCTGATGACAAGGAGCTAGTGGTGAATGATGAAAAAAAAGTGGTCGGTTATTAGAATAACCGACCACTTTTTGGACTGTACCATTATACAGGGGACAGGACACTAACAGTACATTAACGCCCTCTGCCCTACAGAGAGAACGATGAACCTTGACCTGATGACAAGGAGCTAGTGGTGAATGATGAAAAAAAAGTGGTCGGTTATTAGAATAACGATCACTTTTTGGACCATACCATTATACAGGGGACAGGACACTGACTTTACATTTTTCTGCTACAGAGAGAGGAGCCGATGAACCTTGACCTGTCTGATGATGAGGAGCTACGAGAGTCGTTTGATGCCCACTCCCTCATCATCTCCAGCCTCACGCAGGAACCCATCTTCACTGCAGAGGAGGTCATCGAGGAGATAGATGAGATCATGGGAGAAGTACGATGTTAATCTGTTCTTTGTTTGATTTGATTTGATTAGTTGAAATTGTAACAATACAATACACATGGGACACAGGCAGCTGTTGCTGGTGTTGTGTCCCACACATAGAAACAAATACAGGACAGGGCAATACTCATTTTCACTTGGGTAAAAGTCGTGTAGAGTACCTTTTCCAAGAGCAGATTGAAGATTGGTGGCATGGCAGGATTTGAACCTGGGACCTCTTGGTTCCGATTGGAGCATTGCCACTTTCTTTGTGAAGATGTAACAATATGGTATAGTATGTGCCTGCGAAACTGGTGTGTTACGATGAAGGCAGTTATACTGGCTAAGGAGATGCAGATACAAAATCTAAACATTAAAAAGGACACTCCAGCCATCACTTAATAGAGACGGTGGACCATCGATAGAAACTCACTGGCACGTTGAATTGATTGTTGACGTCACACATCCGTAATTTAGCGTAGTCTCATGTAAATAAGGTCACATGTCTGTAACAATCACTCTCACAAGTTTGCATTCAGAAGTGATTGGTCCTTAATTATCCTTATGAAGGCAACAGTGGTCGTTGAAAATATCATCTTTGTGTACCCGTTGTGTTGGAATATCTTCAACTTCATCTTTGCCGGGGCTCAAAGATGTTATGTGAGCCCTGGCTACACCCCCATATAGCCCCTGATGGGGCACTTTAGGGGGGGGGGGAG